GGGGGGGGGGGGGGATGGGCACTGCTAGAATTGACTGATGCATTACGCTTCCTTAGTGCTCTCCAAACTTTCCGCGTGCATCATAACTCGGTGTTGGATACTTAAGCCTGTCTGAATCAATTGTTGTTTTGTGGCATTCAGTATTTTTAAGGCTTTGAACCATTTTCTAATCCTGTTGATACATATTTCTAGTTGGAAGAGCTCCACGGTTTGACCCAACAGCGTATCCTTTTGATTTCCGAAAAGTAACTATTAATTCTAGTTGCTGAACAGATACATGACGGAAGAACTTTGCACAATTTAACGTGCTTGTCCTGTCCACTGAAATATTTCTTAATGACTGCAAAGATATGTCAAAGAAAAGCAAAGGAAACAGAAGGAGATGGACGAAGCCAGAGGGTGAGTTGAACAAAGCAACATGGCTTATGTTTCTGTAGACAAAGAAATACTGCATTATTACGAACCTGCTACTATCGGGACTTAATGTTAGAAGAACTGAACAGCTTAAAAATGCGAAAACGAAATTATTCATGCTTCAAAATGAAGTGACAATGATGACAATGGGATAAAATCACAACATTCTTCAATTATCTTGAAAACATGTATTCATTTTAAACAAATAAGAAGCTTATCACAGTAGTGTCCATTATAGTTAGTTAGCTTGGAGTGGTTTGTTTTTTCTGTTTCAGTTTGGGATAATTGAAAGCAGAGGCAACATGCACCAGGGAATAGTTATATATATATTTTTAGTAGGTTTTACTAAGTTAAAGTATGTATTGAGTAGACATTGCAACCTGTGGTCTTTAATTATTTGACAATATAGGCGAAAAAGATCCCATTCCAGTGGATCTGGGACACGAGCTCGTTCAAGGTCCCTATCAGCAGATCGCTTACCTCGTAAAGGCCCAGGGTCAGGAAGAAAGAACCCCAGCTTGTGGTCGGGTATGATTTGTTTTTACTTAATTTATTATCTGTATCTCATACTTTAGCCTGCGTTGCAGAAATTTCTTTCCCATTTTCCAGTTGTGGAGATTGAACAAGCAAGCGAGCAAACGAGCGCGCCTGAGGCGAGCCAAAAAAATTGCTAGAAGTGGGGAGGGATGAGAAAAAAAGAAGATGAAGCTTATTTTTCGCACTTGGCCGCAGTTTCGTTCGCTTTGTGTGCTTTTGCAAATAATGAACACCTGCAGGCTATTCATCCTCCTGTCAACAGACCATTTTTGTATTCTCGGTATTGGACTGGAACTAGCTTGCAACTGAGGCTAATGCGGGGAGTCTTTTCGAATGCAAATGACATAAATCTCTTTTTAATGATATTTCCTCACATTAGCCTCAATTGCAAGCTCGTTCCAGTCCAATACCGAGAATACGAATATGGCCCGACTAGTCAGTTGGGAACATTAATAATTACTTATTAACCGAGATTGAGGTCTTTACCGGAAAATCTCAAACCGAGACCATGCTGTATTGACCTCGCTATCGCTCGGTCAATACGGCAAGGCCGAGGTTTGAGATTTTCCCTTTAAGACCGAAAGTTCGAGGTTAATAAGTTGTTTATTATGGCTTTTTGCTCTGTCTTTGCAGGCCCGTAATCGACCCGTGGGCATTACGGGAGAATAATGCCCTACAATTAGCCAATCAGCGCGCGCGTCAGATCAGCTACAAACACAAGCCATATAATAAAACCTTTATTTATGTAGAAAGTTACAGTCTTAATATTTAGAAAAAGCACATATTAATAGCGGACTGCCTTTTCGTTAAAGTTTTGTAGATTTTCAGCGGATAACTGTGCACCGTAATCATATGTTACATGCTAAGCGCAGTTGTTGACCTGGGTCAGCGAGAGCAAGAAAAACAGGCATACGGTCCATGTAGCGTTATTGTTTTGTTCCAGGTGATTGTCATGTGACAGTTGAAGTCTTTGCTCTTGGAATTGTTAATCTGTTGCATAAGAAATGTCACTACACCAGCAAGTGATGAAGGAATCACAGAATAGATGATTGCACCGCAGTCTCTAGTGTCTTTTTCGTACGTTTCTTCACTTTTGAATCTATCAATCAAGCATGTTCACATCACTTCGGCTTGTCTATTTTTTAATGTTACCAAAACGAAGGTATAATGCAACAAATACTCCGGTAAAAGAGAACACACGGGAAACAATAAGCGCTTAATGACTTGCGTCAAGGGAAACAGTGATTTTTGTTTCCCCGAGACCCTCACTGAGGTCGAGCCAAACAAAACTCACTGTTTCCGCGGAGCCAGTCGTTAAGTGTTTTGTTATAACTCCCAACTCAAAAATAGGAAAAAAAAACCCTGCGAAAAAATCGTTTGCTTGACGCCGGCTGGCACACAAATTTGCCGCAGATTCAAAGAGCACGACCTGATCACGTGTAAGTCGAAAGTTCAAGTTGTTGTTTCCCACGGGGTTAGCGAGTTTTTTTCGCCCCAGGGAGTTAGTGAGTTTTCACCAACGGCGCGTGACACGTTTTCCTCCAATCGGAAAACGAATTTGAGTTGGGAGGTATCACAAAGCCTTTTCTCTCATCCCAGGAGGCAGGAGAACATCGTCCAATGGTAGCCTGGGCACTAGGCGCTCGTCCCAGTCCTCTGTGGATAGAGACTACTTGTCTGATGACGTAGACGGACATACGAAACCACGACGAGTGAAAACCAGGTCAGCATTTCTCTAATTAAAGTTGTCGCTTTGATAATGTTATCATGACATTTGGCATCAAAAGGTAGAGAGATGCGTGATGATAAATTGACGTCATTAAAATTACAGTTTAAAACAGGGAGGGACCTTGACTACAAACATGTCTGGTAAATGTTGCCTTCATGTCCTCTTATTGTCAGGCACAATAAGTTTATATTACAAAATAAGTAGCTTCATGGTTGCCTCACGGACAGTGTAGAGTTCCTTGTGTGAAAATACCAAAAAAATTATTTCCCAGTATTGTTATCAACCGCAAAACAAGCAAAAACCCTGGAACTAGAAAAGATTATGTGAAAATATCAAGTCACGAAAATAATCGGAAGTTAGGGCAATGTGGAAATAATTATTGGTTAATATACTAATACTGTACTTCCATTTAACAATTAGGTTGAGCTCGAGCTTTCTATCGCGTGATAGTTGACGAGGGTGCAGCTCGTGTCAACTATCACGCACAGAAATAGAGGGCGAATAATCGAATTGTTTTAGCATAAATCTGCTTGTCGTTCAAAACTTTACCTAAATCCTCTTCACAGACACCTCGAAAATGCCAAGAAGCGGCCGTTATTTTGTTAACACGCACGCTGCTACGCTACTCACTATCTATCACAGAATAGATAGTGAGTAGCGTAGCCAATCAGAGAACGTCACCCGTGATAAGAACTAAAACTCGTCACAAACACGCAACCAGCACGACTATTGACGGAAAAGGAAAATTATTTTTCTACTCGAGTAACAAGGCGAAGTCGCAGTAGGGGAAACTGAATCAGACATAGTTTATGTCAAAGAAGATAACTATTTTATTCATATTTCGGTGGCCCTCCATGGCTTGATCAGTTCACTTCTTTCCATCGCCCTAGGCCCATTATCGGCTCAGCTGGAAAGACGAAGACTGGTTCCAAGAAAAACTCGTGGTACAGCCCTGGGGATTCGGATATGGTATGGTTTACTTTGATGTGCGTGTAGCAGCCTTTGTCTACTCCTTTTGTCCTTCATTTAATAATAAAAGTAATTTATACACTGGACATTTAACGTTAACATTGATTCTTACCATGGGAAAAAGGAGAAAACAGAGAAAACAGAAACGCTGTCTAACCTAGTGTCTAGCAACTTAAATTTTATTGTGTTTTGTTTTAGGAGCGAGGAACAGCAGTGAAAGTAGCCACAGTACCGTATCCTTGAATGTGGAGCAGTTTTTAGTTAACTCAAATCAGACCAATTCCTTTCTGTCAAAAATACCTGCCTTAGGTTATCCGCTCTTAATCAAGAAGCCGATCTGTGTACTGATATTAAATTTTTGTGAATCTTGGTGAATTGCAGAAACAGAATGGTGTACAGTAAGGTATGGCCATGTTTTAGTTCCGGTGAAAAGGAGCATTCTGATTATTTGTCCAGTCCATTTTGTTTTGATATGTGTGGCCACACACGAATAGGTTTCATCGTTCGTTCCTTTTTAATCAAAGAGCTCTATGAGCAAACTCGTGAATTTGGCACTGAATGATGATTGGTAAGAGCTAACCTTTGCGTAATATGGAATTAAACTTTACATAAAATAACACTGATATTTAACACAGTCAAATTACAAGAAGCAACAACCAAAGGCAAAACTTCTTTAAAAATAATGATTCTGACAGTAAATTTTCACAAAGATCTTTTCTCCAGACTGCATGTCCTCAGCAGAACTGTTTACCAATGCTGTGAGATAATGTTGAAAGATGAAAGTCGTGCAAAACAACAGTATTTGCTGTTTGTTCCGTATTAGGGGAAATATTTTGGTGCTTATTTACTTTGCAAATTTCATTGATGTATCCATAGTATTACACTACAATGTGTGTTGCCTTACTTTGCCATGTGTGTTGTGTTACATAATCATGTGTGTTGTGTTACATTGCCATGAGTGTTATGTTGTGTTATATGCCATTGGTGTTGTGTTAAAGCCATGCGTGTTTTGTCATATTGCCGTGAATTGTGTACCAATCGTTTTTCACTTCTTGGCCCGTGCTGAGTTTTGCTGGCACTTTATAATTTCTAATTCCCTTTGGAATTGTAATCTCCCATGTAATTTCTTAACGTATTTCCTAGCTATTCAAGTACACCAGAGAATAGTCGAACACACTCCAGAGGTTCAGAGAAACACCGTCACGCCACGCCTTTACGAGGTTAGCTGACTTGTTATTCTAACTTGTATGACAGTGCAGTTATCATCCTAACGTTTGGTTTTCTTTTCTTTAAGACATTGGGAACGAGTCCCTGAATCGGTCAGCGGAGATGATGGAAATTGATGCGCGATTGAACGCACTGCAGAAGTTTATGAAAGAAAATATGCCTTGATGCCTTGATGCCTTAGCACTTCACTTGTCTCATATAATCACATCCAGAGTATCGAAAATGATAACTGCCCACCTATATGTACCACAATATTTCATCGTACTCTAGAAATCTAGGAAATGATTTTCATTGTAAATAGATCATTTTACTAATTCTTAAAGTATTATGCTGTATTTTAGGCTGTTGTATCTTAATGTAAATAAATGTTTTAAAGTCGACCCAATTAAACCCAACTAGGAACTAAGGGTTGTCTTGCTTAACGACTGCTGAGTACGACGGCATTACATCTGGCATGTCCAGCACATTTTGACCACGCTTTAAAAGGTCATCGGAAAAGCCATGAAGGCGAGCTCACGTAAAAATCTCAAATTAATTTATATAAACTGTAGTTTGGTTGGATTTACTGCGCGCTCTTGGGTGTTCCATCCTGTCTCTTTTGTGCCACTTTTTTGTCCTTGGTCTGCCCAGTGGTCCCTTTCTGATTCCCTCGTGCGTTCCATTTTTCGTTCTCCTTTTCTCCTTTTTTTGTACGCTCCTTGTTGCTTTCCGTTGTACTTTCAGTCGTGCATCTCAGCCAGAGCAGCCCCTTTTTTGTTTTTTATGCTAACGTTTTTAACTTCATACTTTTGTTTTTCTCGCAAAAGGTGAGTAACGTGAAACTTTTGTTTTTCCGAAAACACACGGAAGATGCACTCCTCCCGTTCTTCTCCCCTCGACCACTTCACTCTAAGTTCCTTCTCGGTCCTTTCAGCCGCGGTCAAATCCTTCCAGCCGGAGCCTGGTTACAGGCTACACTTCAACGTAAAACAAAAACCGGCAAATTTAATTATCAAATTGTCGCGAAAAAGCACGTTCTCATTGATTGCAGTATGCTTGGTTTTGAAAATACAATTAGTGTACAGTAATATAATATCGATTAATACAAGGCCGCGGGGCGTTTCAACAAGTTTCGGCTGTAACGATAATTTTAAAGGGTAACGTTTTGGCTGAATATATACCTCTTACTAACCGAGTTCTAGGGCCGTAAGTTACGGACCGAATTTTTCCCCCATCGATTTATGGCCCAAGCGCGAAGCGCGCGGGCTATAAATCGAAGGGAAAAATGAGGATTCGTGACTTACAGTACGGACCAAGAACACTTGGCGATAAATCACGAAACATTTTGCCATCAAAAGAGCTTTAAATTTTAGCGGGTCATACAGCAGATTACGGCCCGCCAAATTGACCAATCACAGCGCGCGTACTAACTGAGGGATATAATGAGAACTTATATTGTTGAGTTCTTTCATTAAAGAGAGAAGCCGCTAAAGAGAAGCCGCAGGTATATTTAAACCAGCGATTACATTTCTTGAAGCGAGCTAATGCGTCCTACATGCTGTTTTCTACCACAAAGAAAAGTACTTAACGTTTATCCGTGACCCTGTATGAACAGTATCTTCCACATAATATACGGGTTTATTAAAGCCTGAATCATTGGATAATGCAATTCGAGAGTTTTCATTGGCTTAGCCATCACAGGATATTAGCCATTACACCATGGTCTACAAATACGGTAAGTGTTAGGGTGGTTTTTTGAGACGTTTTTAGATCCTGTTCGCGTTGTTCTGCCATTTAAAGACCAGACTTCAGCCGATATTGTACCAGCACAACTCAAAGATCTGAGTCAGAAAATTCAAGTGGCCGTCCAGCTTACGTTTGTTAGTCACAAGATCAAATATCTGAAACCGCGCGAAGTCAAGCCGTCCATCGTTAACCAGCAATCCCTTGTTTATCAATTTAAATGTGACCTGTGTGATGCAGGTTATGTTGGATACACGCGGCGGCATTTGCATCAACGCGTAGACGAGCACAAGAATGCGTCTTCCTCCATTGGAAAACATCTTCGAGTGAAACATTCTTATGTGCCCAAGGATCTTACCGAGAATTTTACCACCTTAAAAAAGTGCGAGAACAAGTTTGACTGTCTCATTTATGAAATGTTTTTTTTGTTAATGAACTGAGACCTCAAGGTACAGTCAGACTCAATTCGTGCGAAAGTTTTTAATCATTTTTAATTGTGTTATTCTTGCATACATTTCATTGGTGTTAACACCCTCTCCCACATTTACATACTTTACATACTTTTGCCTCTGTTTTATATTAATACTTATGCAAAAAATTTTATCTTCACTTTTAAGCTTGATAATAACCGAAGTTTGGTCGAAACGTCGCGCGCTTTTATCGTTAGTTTTTACTTAAAATTGTTTTTATTTTAGTTTAGTTTTCTATATTTTGGGGGCGTTTTAAGTACAACTGAACAATTATTCCACTCGGAGTATAGCCAATTCGCCAACTCGGCGCTACCATCTCATATCCAACGCGCGCTCTTGGAATACATGTTAATTGTTCTACGTAGAACAATAGTACATGCTACAAGGAGAGCGACGGGTTTTCTGAAACAAATATAAAAAAGCAACGTAGATGTGACACGTTTTACATAGTGCAGACAGATACCTGTGCCGTGCCACCCTACCCTACCCTCTCCTCGCTACAAGACCAATTAATTAATTAATTAATTGATATGAATTAATCAAGCAAATATTCAAGTTCGAACGTCAGTGGGTTAGTTGTTTAGCGGACGGTAGCTCCTCAAACCATGCCAGTAGTGCAATCTGCACTAAAAGCCATCTCCATAGCTCAATGGTGTATAAGGGAATGCCCCCCCCCCCCGACATACCTTTTTTGTAAAAATTGGCAAGTTTGGGGTCCCACATTTAAATAAATGTGCAACGTATTCTTATAACGCTTCACATATTTACTAAATTCGGCCTGATAAATCGGCTTATTTTTGTTTGAAAGAAAAAATTGGGAAAAAGTGATATCGTCAAAAAGGCCCAACGAAAATTAGAAATAACCTTCAAGATCTCCGTCATCGGGAGTTGCCTGCTTCTTAGCTCAGCTACTAAAAATATGGAACGGACACGACATTACAGTTGGGACTGAAACAAGCTTTATTTAGAGATAATTTTATTCAGTGCAAACCAAATATACATCTAGTACAAATGCTGATATGTTGAATTTAGATCAGAAATACTCCGCCAATCTTGGGTCGGTCCTGAGTTTTTGTTCCAGTTGAACGTACTTTTGCGGTGCCAGCTCCTTGTGTCTAAAGTAAAAGAAAGTTCTCTTTAGGCTGCATACGGATAGAAACAATTACCAAAAGTCGGTTGGTTAATAATTCCCTTCACATGGCTAGTATTTGTAGCCGATCTAACGCATGCTCTGATTGGCTTACTGTAGTGCATTATTCTCCCGTAATGCCCACGGGCCAATTACGGGCCTGCAAAGATAGAGCAACAAGCCATATAATAAACAACTTATTAACTTCGAACGTTCGGTCTTTACGGGAAAATCTCAAACCACGACCTTGCCATATTGACCTCGCTATTGCTCAGTCAATACGGCAGGGTCTCGGTCCGAGATTTTCGCTCTCGGTTAATAATTAGTTAGTAATATGTACATAACTAAACAGCTCAAGTTGTAGGATTTAGAAAGACTAATTAAGCATTATGTAAAAGAGGCCTAAGAAAGGATGATTTTAAATCTTATGAACGATAATTGAGGATCAAAATACACCGCAAAATATGAAATGCCAGAAGAGATTGCGCTAAAAATAAGAGAAAAATATTTGCTGCCTAATGTGCCTGAGAAAAATCTCTTTCAAACAAGCTTGACCAGGATTAAGCAGAGTTTAATACCAGATGACATTTCACAGTCAGTCCCTATGCGAAAGAAAACCCTTGTGGTAGAATTTTTTTTCTCTCTTTGGAATATTTATCATTAAAAGTGGCTTTCAAACTGCCCGGCGAGACAGACAACAAATGTGCACAACTTTATATCTGATGGATTTATACAGGTAGGTTGCAGGGATATTTTACGAATAAATTTGAGAAATGAGTTAATTATTTATCTCCAAACAATTGCACTGCAGTTTAATACAATAGGTCCGTGCTAGGAGAACAAAAAAGACCGAGGGCCGATATTCTCCCAGCAGGCTAGGTTAATAAGAGATTTATTACACCATTGTTTAGAAAAAATACCCCGATCACAGACTGGTAACACTTGTAAAATATCGAAAGTTTCAAGAGCGGAATTCTAATTGGAAGCTGACATGGTGTATACTCCCATCACGTCTGAAGCTAAACAAGACAGACGGAAAAGAGAGGCTGGTGAAAAAAGGGGAATCGTTTACGTGAAAGCAAGTTCTTTCAGAAACGTAAGCCAGAAAATCATTCGGGACAGTGCCTGGTCCAATACTTAGAGAATATTGGACTGGCAATGGAGCAATCTCATTGGTTGAATTTAGTTATTGGTCCTTTGAAAGATCTTAGTTGTGCAATAGTGTTCCTTAATGCGCCACTTCATACGGGATCTGAGTGGCGTATTTTTCGTATTTCACCCTGGCGAGTGTCGTATCGTTCAATGATGTCACATTACAGCCTTTTCCAGCGTTGAATGAACTTGGTTTCTTGCGTCGTTTTCTGTTTAGAACTATGACAGTGGCAGGCAGATTTGTTTTACTTTTACTTACAATACCTGTTAAGGCGTTGTTCAAGGATATGGATTCTAAACATGGCTTCGCTACAGTAGTTAAGGTATTCTTCTTCGTCTTCTTTTGTCATGGACACTTGATTCTGCTGATACCAACTTTGTTTGCGCTGTAATTCTTGTGTTTCCTGTCCCAAGAAAAATTCATGATAGTGAATGGAGAAGATTTCCTCTCCATAGGAGGAAATCTGTCTGCATTCACAGGAAGTCAACGCCGTTTAGATGTCTCTTACATTGTAAAACCTTTGTTTAGATATAAAGATACATGAATGGTGCTTTTCAAAATATTTTCCCTCACTTTCTGAAAACAGTTTCGCGGATTTACTGACATAAAACGTCCATTCCTAAATAGATAAATGTGACCCAGTGAGGAGCTGTTCTCCAGACATTCTACAAACCTTCTCAAATCTAGCCTGAATAAGGTTTGCTTTGTCAATGAGACGGTGCTTAAGATCTTGAAGACACTCTTCTTTCAGTTTGTAAGCTTCCTGTCGACTGATGTGAGGAGGATCACCAATTTGAGCCAGGAATGGCGCCAAGTAATCAAGCTCCAATTCATGTTTCTTCATTGCTTCCTCTGCTGCTTTGCGCTCCTAATGTAAACACACCAGAAGAAAACTCATTTATCATATGGCTAGCAAAAACAATACTAATTGATAAGAAAAATTAACAATCTAGTTTCAGTGAGTCTTGTTTCTCTTTTGACACTGTTAATATAGTGTCAAGCAGTCGTTAATAATTTGCGTCGTACAACTGAAACCAAAGTTATCAAAACGACACGAAACAATCCAGTTTAACCAAAGAAAACTCAAAAGAAATATATGACCATATATGTAGCTAAGGGGAAGCGAGGGAGAATGTGTGCGAGCGAGTCACTGTATCAGGTTTAGTTTAACTTCTGATTGGACGACAAAGTAACGCCATTTTCTTTTTAAGCCAATCACTTAGCATAGTAATGCAAACCAATGCAGAACCAATGCAGATGTGAATTACTTTCGACACTCAAGTGAAGACCACTGTAGCCCCGACAAACAGATGAAAATGATACCGGGAATTTATCCGGTATTTTTATCGCCACGCCTCGTAGGGTAGAAAATCATGTCTTGATATTAGATAGTGTGTTCTATTTCCAAATTTCTCAGTTGCTTCATGGTATGCTTCCTGTTAGGGCGCGTTTTAAGGCACGTGACAAATAATCAGAAGCTACCCCGGTTGCTGTTGAGATACAATTTTTGTCTTGGTCGTGACTATCAGCCAGCCAGTGCTTTTTCAGGGTGATAACTTAAGGTGCGAACACTCTCTGTCCAGATTTTGACATGGAATCGCTACTGAACAGTACATGAACTGAAAAAAAAATTAAAAAAAGGAACAGAACACGCAGTAGCAAGCTGTTGTATCACTTGTATGTGCGTTCATAGCACTTGTACAGTGTGAGTCTGTTTACCAGTTCCTGGCGGTGTAATTTGGCCTTCTCGTTTCTCTCTGTATCGTACACAGAAACACTCAGTTGTGATGCCGCTTCTTCTTTGATTCGAAGTTGGAGGATTTCCTTCACCTACAAAATAACAACACCTGTTAAGCATTGAAGCATTGTCAGTGCATGTCAATAATCCGCCTCTTTTCATATCAAAATTCTGTCACAGGCAAGAGTACACAGCAGCATCTCGTCATTAAGTCCCCAGACATTTTTTAAAATGTTTTGTTTCTACCCAAATTCTAGACTGTTCACAGCCTCTCTATTATTCAACGCACGCGAAAGAAAAAGCGAGCACGAAGCACGAGAGGGTCTTTCGTTTTGCACTCGCGTTCAGTCACGTAGGGGCCAAACCACCCCGCTAATGTTTCATGAAGGCTATATTTGCTTGGTTTATATATTTCTGAACCAAGTTTGGCAGATGAGCTTTCTTTGTTCTCCAGTTTATTTCAATTTGGAAGTTGTGACAAAATGTCAGATTATGACGTCATAATTGATGACGTCACCAAAACGTGCTATAATGTTTTGTAAAATCTGATAAAAAGACTATCTCATTGGAAAGGCCTTGACTTGAGGAGTGAAATGCCGGAAACCGTTTTTTGCTATGATGATTATTTTTCGAGATATGGTAAGTTAAATATTTTTTCGTTCTCCCCCGGAATTTGCCTAACCATACTGTCTTTCTTAAGTAGTCTCTCTGGTTTATTTTTTTAAGTTTTATTCTAGGAGGGCTAATAATCTAGAAAAATAGAAAGCTTGATGTTGTCAAAAATCGTATGGTTTTAGAAATTTGATTTTCGGCTTTGTTAGGATGGTATTAACAGTAAAAAAACGGGTGACGTCACAGGTTATGACGTAACAAAACTAATTTTAACGCAATAACTCTAGAGGGATAATTTTTTATTCCGATTTTCTTCTTTATTTTTGCTTTAGTCATCTGGCATATCACATGTGCAACAAGGCTGCATTTGCTGGAACAAAATTACGGCTCCAGTTTGGGGATTTTTCTCAAGGGGGGACCCAGTATTTTGCAGAGTTATTTTTCATATTTAAAAATGCCATATTTCATTTAATTTTTGTGATATGGACAAAATGTTTTCAGGTTTCAACTCCCCTTGATGTGCTCTTTCGAACACATTGTAAAAAATATGCATATTAAAAACTTCAAAAGAGGCAAAAAACATGACGTCATCACTGTGACGTCACAAATTTGACATTTACTGACATTTTTCACGTAAATATAATTGGCAATAGGTCTACTGTTCATCTGCCAAGTTTGGTGTAGAAAGAGTCAATACTTTTTAAGTAATGTGAAATAATGTGAAATACCCAAGAACTGACGAAACATTTGGGGGGTGGTTTGGCCCCTACGTGAGTTCTCTCACGATTCTATCCGCGCGTTTAACGATCGAATAAAAATACGAGAAAATGGAGGGCTGTGAGGAGTCTACCCAAATTTACCAACGTAGATTATAAACAAGATAAGTACTGAGAACAGTAAGAGAGTAACAGATTAGTACCTCTTCTTCTGATGCTCTTATTTGGTTTGTGCTCTGTTCCTCGGCATCAACCAGTTCTACCAACATCTCATAAACATGTAAATTTTTATGTGGTTTGATGAGAGGGTCCACCTGTTAGCAGAAAATGTGCCTGATTAAAAAAAAAATACTGTGCTATGGAATATGACAGATACAGGCCAAGTTTTATTTATTCCGACCGCTGTTATGTATTTACGTTGGTTTTAATTAAAGTTTCAGATTAAAGATAGCTTTGTACTCCTTCCAGAGTATTTAAAAACATACTTTTAATTACGATTCAGTGATAAAAAAGAGTCATCGAGCTCATTTTTTAGTTATAAGTACTTAAAGCTGAAATAAAGGGTGGTTTAAACAGGATGTACTGTTGTTATGTTAACCTATTTTGCGATAAAGATAACCAGAACTAGTTTACGAATGATTGGGCGTTTGTGGGATACCAGCATTGTGACGTTCAATCAAGTGTAGAATTAATCAGTTCAAGTATAACTGCTGGAACCAGTTGCCAGCCACCTGAAGCTACAGATGTCTAAAGTACACGCAATAAAACTCACCTGAAATGTTGTAGTCATATCCGGCGTCATAGTTAGAGTGCCTCCTTTTTCTGTGGTGTGTGGAGGTCGGATAAATTCCCTCGTGGAAGCCGTTACTCTGTTGTCTTCCAAATGAAACGTTAAGTTTATTCTCTCGTCAGAGACAAGGAAAACTCTCTCCGCAACATCTTCGTTTGCTTCTTTAGACTTGTTACGGTGAAATCTCTCAACTATTTTCTGTTGAAAAGGAAATGATCTTAACTCTGGTGTTTCGGATAATTCGAGTGCCCGTGGCTGGCTATATGTATTTGTGCCATCTAGCAACAAACTACATTTGATAACAGTCGGGAAAGAAAATTGAGTTATGAGACTGAAATGAGCAGGAAAGCATTAGCCTGCGAACCAAGTGACAGCCGGAAATACGAATGCTTTCGCAGGCTAGAAAGCGTGGACTTATAATGCACAATACGCGCTTGAAGAATAGCTATTGTAGCATACAAAGTCAGCTGACGGTTTGAAGGTGACGTACCACTATAGGTCTTGAGTTGGCCTCCTGCGGCCCAAACTTTTTCACTCGCTTTCCAAATGTCACCTGCCGATAGTACATGAAATCGTCTCTATCCACATAACTTTCGGTCATTTCCTCTGGCGACTCTTCACGCTTAACAAGCCCGTCAATGCGAGCACTGAAAAAGTACATGTCAGTCAGGATATTTTACAACAATTATGTTTGAGTGCACAATAATTGTTCACTGGAGGTTAGGTAAACATTGGTGATATTTAAGGAGACGAAGCAGAGGTGAATATTCTCCAAAGAATAAGTTTATTGGTATAATTTTCAAAATCAGTATTAAGAACTAGAACCAAAGAACATGAACATGTGACATGAACAGCTCGCCAGGATAAATTTGGCACAAAGTCAGCCTTTATCAGAGGCAAGGCTAAGGAAGGGTGGCTCACAGCTGAAAAAAAGTTCCTTAATGTATATTCAGCTTCTATCTAGTAGCAGTAGCAGTTCTTTTCAAAAAGCCTTGGAAAGATACAGTTTGCCCATGAAAGAAGTGACGTACCTGGAGTAAAATAACATAGTTCTATCGGATTCTGGACCCGGAGAACTTGCTTTGTAGGTGTGTTCTAAAAAGGGCAAAAGGGGAAAACAATAATTATGAAACAATACGTGCGTAAGTGTCTGCACGCACATAAAAAGAAACGTTAGACTGTTTTTTATTCTGTTACTAGATTTTAAAATAATTCGACTTCATTTACCAGTAAAAGTTATTTTCCCAGTTGTTTAACTGGGTCAGCTACCAACAAAGAAATATCAATGATTGGTTGCACAATTTTCCTTATCCAAATCGCAATTAGCCAATCCGAAGCCTTGTCTACTGTCCTACAATTTAATCAGATCCTGCATTATTTAAAACTGGATCATTGGATAATGCAATTCGAGAGTTTTCATTGGCTTAGCCATCATGGGTTTTGAGACATTATACCATGAAATACAAATATGGTAAGCGTACGCGTGATTTTTTGGGGCGTTTTATTCAATCAATCAATCAATCAATCAATCAATCAATCATTATTGAAAGAGGGTTACCGTAGTTTCTCGGTTATAAGGCGCACGGTTTTTTCGAGGAAAATCTGTTTTTTCTTGGGAAGTTTTTGCCAAAATTGGGGTGCGCCTTATAGCCGAATATTTTCGCGCAAAAAAATCTAACGACAGCAATTTTACACTTAATAGTGCACTTAATAGTTAGACAACTGATAAACCTTAGTTTTCTATATTTTAGGGGCGTTTTTAATGAACAAAACGCTTCAGGACTTGATAATATCTCTGCCAGGTTGATTTGTGAATGTGCTGATTAAGTGATCTGTTTAACAAATCCTTGTCTTCTGGCATATTTTCCAACGAATGGAAATGTGCTAGAGTCACTCCGTTGTTTAAAGAGGTGTTATCTCGGTAGTTGCAAAAGTATTCCAGAGGATTGTGATGTATTTTTATCGTGTTTAAAGCAAGATTAAAGATTAAAGAACAATTGTTCCACTCGCGCTTGTTGGATATGAGTTAGTTGATTATAGTCAACTCGGCGCTACGCACCTCATGGCTATCTACCATCTCATATCCAACGCACACTTGTGGATTAACTGTTAATTGAATATCAAGTCACTGATCTGATATTGCCAGATTTTTGGTACTGTACTTATACCTAATCCTACCTTTTTGATATGCTTCAGCGACATATATGGCAAGTTTGGTCAAGCCAAAATCAGAAAAGCGAGACCAAACGAGCCTAATATGAAGCGAACCAAAAAACGATTAGGTATTTAGGTACCCGAGGTGCTATATATCGTAGCCATCAGATCAGTGACTACAGTTGATATCGCAAGATATCAGGACAGTAGACAAGATTTATGATTGACTAATTGCGACTTGTCTTGTGTGCGAGTGTATGGTGGATGTTAAGTGGTGGCCCGACTGGTATAAAATGCGATAAAAGTGCTACAATTTCCAACCTTTAAGACAGTCCAGCCTGCCAGGTGCAAAGAATTCAGTAATAAGTCCAGTGGTCATGTTATGAACTTTAGTCTCTAGCTTGTCAATCCGGTGTTTGTACACTTCTCTCTTCTCGACAAGATCTTTTACTAAAATCAAACCATTTTTACATTACTTTCAAACATGATAATTTCAGTCTCATTCAGCCAGCCTTTTTTCCAGTACTGGTGTAATGAACTACAAAGTTGGTACTTTGTTTAGCTCTGTGGTACATCAATAACAATCACAATTAATATATGAAGAATAATTAGAAATGAAAGGCAAATTATAAAAATGTTAATGTGATGTACAAAAATGTAAAGAGATCAAGGCAAGAGAGGAAGAAGTTTTTACTTTGCTCATTCATCATTACCAGAATATTTTTTTTGTCCTCTGTAATTACATGTCTTTATTTAGTCCCTTATCCCCAACCTAGAGGTGCATTTTAATCAGCTGGTAATTGCAAGAAAATGTATCAACATTGTAAAAAGAAATTAGACAGTGCAAAACACTGTAAGGAGAAATTAAATAACTCTCCAGACATAGTAATAACTGATTCTGATGTAATATATACATATTGTAACTAGAAGTCTGATGTTATTCCACATTTCAAGCTGCTACAGGCTGCAGAATAGTTCCAGCTCATTCCTTATGTACTCACACTCATAATCATTGTAACTTGCCAAACTGGACACAAGACCATCTTTTAGCAGATACTCTGCAAACTTTTCTATCTTGGCTTTCTTGTACAGCTTAGTCTTCTTTCCAAAAGGACACCTAGTTTGGAATTCTTCAACCAAGATAAAATGATTAATCATTGTCTTTGTTTATCTACCTAAATCTTTTTAGATCCCCTTATAAATAATATATCTCTGAGTTCATTTTACTAAGATTAGAAATAGAAATAAAGTCCCCAACCTTTTTAAATTCATATTTCTTAGGGTCAAAAAATACATTGTTACCAAAATGTGTGAATTACTCTGTCACCTTTTAATGCAATTTCAATAGGTGCAACCCAGGAAGGAGGCAAGTCAAAATCAGATCCCTCGTCATCATTCTGAGAAAAACAAAGACAAACAATGTCACAGCTACACAGATGACTTTTTAAAACAAAGTGAAACCTGTTTTAAGCAGACTCCATATTAAGCGGGCACCTTTTATTACGCGAACAGCAGTGCAAGTCCCATTTTTCTTTTCCCACATTCACTGTGAAAAATACCTGTATTCAACAGACACCTCTATTAAGTGGATGCAGACGTCTTAAACTTGACTTTTATGGTCATTTCTATTTGTTAGAAACCTGTATCAAACGGACACTGCAAAAAGAATGCCTGATTTTTTTGTCCACACTTTAGCAGTATGGTCATTAAAGTTTGCCAACAAACTGAGCTGTCACAGAAATGCAATATATTTTGTTATTCGATTTTGTTTTTACAGAACTTTGTTCTTGTCTGATTTTGTGAACCTTCACATGATTCAATCAATATAGATACTGTTACTGTATACTTAAATCACTTTACCTCATATACTTGTCATTGTTTATGGAAATAAGGTATTTCAGGGTTATTGATCGTTCACAAGAATGTTATTTGTCCCTTTCAAGGTCTTTTAATACTGACCAATATTGATATGACCCCTCCAAGTCAAATTCTGAGAGAACCTGTTTTCAGCAGACACCCTGTATTAAGTGGACACTAGTAAGAGTTCTGAGGGTGTCTGCCTAATACAGGTTTGACTGTAGAAATGATATATGCCAAAGGGTAGAAAAGAGAAACAGATTCAATCACTGTATTAAGCAAATTTTAATGTTAAATACTTAAAAAGTACTTCTCTCTGTCTTATCTTAGTTTTTGGCTTAAAAAGACACTATTCACAATTCTCTTATTTTGAGAGATTTGCATCTACAGTACAGACTCTCAGTAGTTATTCCTAGTGTTTTTGGAGTCTATCTACTACATACTAGTTATGCAACACTTTTGAGTGGTTCACCATTCCATGAGTCACTTGTATTTTCTCCGTATACACACAAGGCCTTAGGCAAGTGTGTATGCCAAGAAAATGCATTAGTGACAAATGAGATATTCCATGGTATACCACTAGAGAGCATAACTACATTTTATACCATGTCATAGAAAATACAGTGGCTGACACAATCAAAGCAATATACACGCAATGCATGATGGGAAGGTCGGATGTAATACTGTTGAATGTACAATGGCTTTACTGTATTCTGATTGGCTGTGTTTTCTATGGTATGTTCAAAAATCTATATACACTTATCTGAGCAGCTAATTAGTCATGCTATTCATATACACCTCTTCATCATCTATATCAAGAGGGTCAGTTTCATCCACAGATGGGATCATCAGCAAGGGTTTATCCGTGGTGGAAAACATGAACTCCCACTTGGATGCATCACCCAGGTCATACACAAGGTCCTGTGATGGAAATGGAATCAAGAGTTAATTAAATAAATAACAAATAAAAATAACAACGAAATCCCACCTTCAAAACATGCAAATGACCTTAGTAATAGATGTAAAAACACGACAAGATGACTAACAATCTAGGGCATGGTACAAAATGATAACCCCTCCTGGAACATCATCCTGGACTGTGACCCCACTCAAAATAAAATATATATATAAACATGTTTACGTTTTTGCAGATCAACAAAAACAACAGTTATGTAATGACCTAATCTAACAAAATCCCTCTTCCAAATTTTCCATTTACTGCTGGTGAATGCAAATACATGTCATAATCACCAGCTGGAGGTAGTATTTTGTTTTAGTTACCCATGCTACAAAGATTCTCCAAACTGCTAATTCACAAACTTCAGATATGTAAAAAGAGACCTGATTTTTTATGCGTCTTACAAATGGGAATTGCGGCCCTAATAATCAGTGCATTAATACACATGTACCTGAACACCATGTGAACAGTCTTGCATGTTAACCCAATAATTCTTGTGATTCCACACACTTTCAATTCCAAGATAAGCATTGTGTGTGAGAGGGTGACAGGCTCCTGTAAGAGTCTCAATAAAGAAACTTTCAGGGACCTCTCGCTTTCCTGATAGGACGAGAACCCAACAGTGCACCCTTAATCCATGCAGCTTGTCAGGCTTAGGCTTTTCCAATTCCTACAGTGAGTGTATAAAAAACAACAAAAACAACATTAATTTACAATTTTAAGTGAAAATTATTTTGTTTTAATTATTAAAACATATTATTATATGGCTTGTGTTTCTAGTGGATCTAACAATTGTGCTCTGATTGGCTAACTGTAGGGTATTTTTCTCCCGTAATGCCCACGGGCTGATTACAGGCCTGCAAAGACAGAGCAAAAAGCCATTATAATAAACAACTTATTAACCTTGAATGTTTGCTTTCTATGGGAAAATCTCAAACCTCGGCCTTGCCATATTGACCTAACAATCGCTTAGTCAATACGGCATGGCCTTGGTTTGAGATTTTCCAGTAAAGACCTCACTCCCATGTAAAAAGTGGTTAATAAAATTTTATTGTAAATTTAACCTAATATAAAGTTACACAGTGCCTCTGGTACAGTTGTTTGATTTGATAATGGAAAGACAATTAACTAAAAGCAGTGAAAATATCAATTGACTGAATGCCTGCTATTCTGAATGGATGTATGATCAAGTAAGAAATTATAAATAGATACTAACTGGCCAGTTACTTTAACTCTCATTACTGTTATGATGTCTCATATATATGTTAAATTGTTCTCAGACAGAATATATCATGATCAAGTGGTAACAGAAAGGTAAGGGACGTTGGCATTTGCTCAGTTACCTTTTCATCTTGCTAAAAATATGCATGTGCACCGATACAAAATCCTAACAAAGACTCTTTGTGGGCACATAGTACAATACACACTGCTTTTTAGTGCAGAGAGCACTATTGGGATGGTTTAGGGGGCTAATGTCCTCTAAACCGCTAAGTCCTAAGGGAGAAGGTGTAAACTTTGTTTGTTTGATTAATTCATTTCAATTTATTAATTAGCTTTGCAGCAAGGGCAAAAACACATTTCCTACAAGATCACACACTAACATTGAGAAGAGCTGTCTTGACAAATGGTAATTAATTGTAAGTTATTCTTGGACTATGAATGAAAATACACACATGAAACATACAAACTGCTTATGTCTCATCAAAATCCCTAGCTTACTAGCAAGGTCAATACAAAGCAGGGGTGAACAGCAGGGGTTATAGAGGAACCGTGTTGTGAGTACTGCATCAGAGCTATACGTTACACTCTGCACTATCTGAGATTGTCTCACTAGTTTATTCATAATACAGGACTATATACTTTTTCCTGTTTTCTGCTCTGCTGAATGATATTCGGGAAGTTAGATGTTCTTTTAATTACATGGTTTACAACTTTTTCACAATGACCGCAGTTACATCAACTTTTGAAATGCTGACACGATCATCTTACCGCAATTCTTGCCCCTTCCTCTTCTCGCCGTTTCCTTTCCTGTTCCTCTTCTTCTGCTTTTTTCTTTGACTCAACTTTAGCTTCAAACTTACTTCTTAAATCTTTAGGAGGTTTCACTGTGTACTTTTTAACTTCTTTTTTCACCTCTTCCTTGGTTACCTTTTAATTGACAAGTCAAACCCATTTTGCATATATATATATATATATATATAATTTATATATATATATATAATTTCAACTCTACACTTGATGTAAGTACACAACCACTGAGAGATCAATAAAAGCAATGAAGCACATGACCTTGACAAGGTAGGGTGTAGTCTGCATCTCTTCTGAGAGTCTGTGTCTCATTCTCTAAGTAGTGCTGGTTATCATTGCCTGCATGGTTACTGGTCGCAGGTATCACAAATAAACTGAATTTATCTCCTCCTGACCAGCGACCAGCAGAAACAAATAAAGTGACATAACAAAGGAACCAAAGGATCTTGAGCAAACAAGCAAACACTTAGTGAACTCACTACCAACATCAAAAAACTTTTCACTGGCGAGGGATATTTTATGGTCACGGAAATACAAGTTGTGGCCATGGGGTGTGAATGTAACACATAAGTCCTGTATTTTCTTCTGATTAATTTTGCGAGGAAAACCAAAAATAATGCAATTAACAGACCTCATCTTTTTTTCTCAGGAGAGGACAGATTTCTCTTGTTTCATCCATGAGTGTTGTTTCTCTGGTTGCATACCCACACACACAGTATGCATCATAACCAGCTCCAATCAGTAAGGAACTCAACAGGACACTAAAATCAAAACAGTTTCCCTTTTGGCTCCTCAGGACAGTGGTAGGAGATACCAGGGTACTTGGCTGTCAATAAAAAAGCATCCTCAGCTCAGAATGAAAGATGAAACAAATCTCTCACTTCCTCCTGTGCATTAAATATTAACTAAAGACAGTGTTAGAACACTGCATGTTGTTACTCAGATCAGCAGAGGAGAGGTCGCTCTAAGATGGTGTAAGTTAGGAATGGAGGGAACAAGCTCCTCACATCAATCAACAATGACGGATATTTTTCTATGTTTGAACATTTGCTGGGACTTTCTTTTAGCAACATTTGATATAATTGTGCCTCGTGACAGGTCCTTAAAAGAAATCTGTGAAATATATAGGCAAGCTTGTAATTTAAAGACTGCTTATTTGAGGACTTGGGGGCTTTCATTAAGCAAATAAGCTTATTTTAGGTAAGACCTGAAGGAGGTGCAATAATTTTTGACTTGAAGCTGCACATGCATGCCGCAATTTGTTAATAATATATACTAGAAGTGGGTTGAAGACTTCAAATCATACAACTGCCTTTACAATGATTAACCCCACCCCCGCTCCACCAGGCTCAGATTTAGGGTGGTGGATTGGGTGGCTAGCAATTCCCTCTTTGGAGGAACAAAAGAAGAAAAAGAATTTTTTAAAAATTGGGAATACAGAGTTCAACTTTCAGGAAAAAACCTTGGGGTCTTGATTTAGTGGCCAGCAAAAGTATTTCGGTGAAAAGTGTGAAAATATAGTCGCCAGTGAAAAAAAATTTGGTCACATTGGCGACCCCAGTGGTCGAAACATTGAGCTCTAGAATATTACGTAAGAAAAAAAGGAAAACACTCTGGAAACTACCTCATCGTTATTTCAACTTTGTGGCACTACTAGTATTTCTGGTGTAACAGTTTTAAATTAGGTTCAAATTCTCAAATTGCCACAGTAGGGGGCATACCCCATTGATTCTGCAACTGGAAGATATCAGCCGACCCCCTTGAAAAACCCTGTATCCCCCCCACCAAATTAATGCATGATGAAGGCAAACTTAAACAAAGCAAAAATATATTTTTCCTCAATTAATACATGTCGTCACTGATTTTACACATGATATTTATTAAAATGTCTTGGTGACTTGTAAGTGGATGGTACGCCAGTGGAATGCCTACAAGTATACTAAACAGTAACACTAAATATTTCCGTCAAATGAAGAAAGCTTACCAAGTCAATTGGTGGATCCAAAGGAACAAATGTCAGATAATCTGAGACAAACTGTGCACAGCCATCATAATCATACACCTCTTTGTATGGCAGAAGCGTTGGGCGAATTGTTGTGCATACAAATTTCTAAGAACGAAAAAAAAAACATGGTTACATATTTTTTTCTGGAGTTGTAAAGAGACCTACATGTGCACATCGGTCATAAATTTTATATAATTTCCATGTCAACCAACCATTAAGCCTTAGGCTGAATGAGTCTGAGACCTGCAGGTTGGAAACTTCCATCTTACACCTACTCATGACTATAGCTAACTGAGAATTTTTGAGCTATTGCAGCATCAACTGGCACAATTTGACATCTGTCACATGCCTGCGGATCAAAAACATCAATCACACACCTACAGCTAGAACAATTTCACATGCATGACTAACAATAACTACTCTGGATACTTGTTCAGTAACCATTAACATGAAAAATTCAATTCAATTTCCATCCAAAATCAGAGTCCAGTGAACAGCACTAAATGTGACATTTGGGACCTAAACAACAAGTTATAAGGTTGTGTTTCAGTTTGAGGGACTGGACACCACTGCCCAACCTTTGGTTGTATGGTGTGACGTATTAGTGATGTGCTAACAAGACAATTTTGCCTCCACTACACATCCGGACACACTAGACAGTGATTAAATTGGGTGCGTTGGCCAGCCAAGCCATCGTCCCGTTTATTCCATCTCAGCATATAATACAAGCTATGAATAAAAAGACAATTGCTAAGTGCACCAAAGCCGGACACGAAAACCCTAAAACCAGCAAGTGGAGAAAATTGGGAACGTGTACCCCCGACCAAGGCAGTGGTGCAACCCTCAGGGTTTTAGGGTATCCTTAGTTAACATTAGTACTGTAGAATAATGAACCTAAGGCTTTATACAGCGATATAATAGCAATAAGAGAACTAAATAAACGTACAACAGTGGATTACAACTGATGATATCATTAAAAGAAAACCAAACTTAACCTAAACACGGCAAAGGCTGGCCATAGAATGTCTCACCTCGCCAACTGTCACCGATTACAAACTCAAATCCCACTRTACACTGCGCACCTCAAACCCGTACCCAGCCCTCTGGTCCGTGCCGGCAAAATAGTAATTTATGCTAATTTAAGATCATCACAAATTACATTCTTCAGGAATCTTCTGACAATGTTTGGAAAGTCGTCAGAATTTTTTAGTCGATAATACAGGTTGACAAAACCAACATATCCTAGCTTGGATATTAATTTCTCCACTATTTATCCTTTGATCTACTGGGCCATATCATGGAAGTTGGCCCTTACCAAGTTGTGGGACCAAGCTATAGTTAAGCTTGGGACTAAGCTGTAAATCAACTCTAGAGTAGATAGCAGCAGCTAAGATAGAGGATTTTAATCAACACTTAACATAAGTAGCTAGGTAATCTCAAGCTCAAAGATTACTCCACTATCAAGCTAAAACGTTACAAACACATGTAGCTCAGGTGTAATTACCTCTATTCCACTCTCATTAAGAGGATTTAAAAACAAGGGTTTACGATCACGATAGAGATGAACAAACTGCCGTCTAAAATTCTCACAAAATGACAACACAAGTTTTTCCTTTGGGGTATTTGACTTGTGGGATTCAGGAAGAGAAGTATTGTCAACACCTTTGTTTCTATAAGAGACAGAAAAGTAAAATTAATGTTACTAAAAACAGTTATTAATAGATCCTGAAGATGAATACTGCTTTAGTTATCAAAACAACTCATTCATCCATCCTTTTGATGCCAACACATTTGCAGAACTCATAAGGCCACAATAATAGGGGTTTCAACTGCGCAAGACACTGAGTGACTGTTTATTATGCTTTCATTCCTTGGAGAGCATTTTTATGTGAATAAGTCTAATGAAGCAAGTCAGTGTCCAGTCAAATGTTACATTCTGAGCAAAAATTACTAGTGACACTAAGATGCCATGGCTGGGGGGGAACTCCAATATATGAAAATTTAGAGGTATGTGCTACTGCTAAGGGTATGGTTTTCAGGCAGTTTAATCTGGAATGGGATATAGAAATCAGACAGTATAGGATAATTAATTCACCGAGAAAGTGGCCAGTGTACAAATAATTTAGTCTAAAACAGGGTTATTTACCTGGGGTTCTATACTAGAAATTGAAACTTGGAAGTGACTGTAAGATATCGGTTTAGCTAGCGTATGTTGGACTATTATACTGATAAAGTTTCTGCATGGAAATAGATAGTCTGGAATAGAGCAGGGGTTTTTGGGACCTCAAGTCTTGAACAGAACTGCAAAATAAAGTTGATCATGGTCTAGTATAGGGTAACTAAGGGTTTCTGTGTCCCAGTGGCAGTCACCCTCACCCAAAGATTTACAGAGTTACCTCTTGGTGAGTACTGTTGATTCATGCCACCATTAATTAATCCATGCTTTAATGTGCATTGAGTTATGATGCACGCAGGACATTTGGAGAGAACAAAAGAAGCATAAGAGTTTCCTAGGGAAAGCTGAGAGCAACTCTTAAGCTCCTTGAGCACTCTCCAAACTTCTCAAGTGCTTCATAGCGTAATGATGCATGGCCGAAATTATTGAATAAATTGATTTAAAACATCATTAGCGGAGATAAATGTATGATGACCACCACTTGAATGTATAAGAAAAAACCTTCCCTGGGATGGCTGAGGATACTAGTATTTCTTGGAGCTACACAGAATCTCCAGGTTTGGTCGACAGCCATGTTTATTGGATGATATCAATGAACGTTTACTTTACTGGCAGCCATGCAATCATCAGGGTGTATCTATTTTGAGCAAATGTGTACATTCGATGAACAATGACAATGTTCCTACATGAAAAAAATAGCTGTACTTTACTGTCAACATTAGTGAAAACATTCAGGTATTCAGGTATCAACTGATTTAGCGCATACACTTTTACGATAGATACTTCAAGGTAGTTTAGAACCGTCCCTTTGGAGAACATAGCATAAGTAGGTCTAAATGTCTTAAATTTTATTTTGTTTCTACATTATACAGCTCTATGCAGCTCAACATTAGAACGGGAAAGCAGAACTTACGGTAGAGAATTGATATCTGGAGCCGTGACTTGGATTTTGGCTAATTCCTTCTGCAGGGATTCCATATCAATAACCTGGAATGGTCGATTGTGTTCAGACCAAGAATACAATACTTCACAAAATAACCGAATAAACTGATTGTTGTGAATCTTCTTGGCAACGGCTTTGACTTTTACTAGTCCGAGAGAAGACTGGAAACATTTTCTGACTCGACCCAATCTTCCGCGACTTTTTCGCTCTTCTTTCTTGGCGTCGAAGAAATGTTGTGGATCGACCAAGTTCAACAATGGTGAAACTTTTAGATTGAGTATCTGCATTGAAATTTTTCTTTTAAAAGTGCTGAAGTGATGTCATTTAAAAGTCCCTCCGTTCGCCGAAGTCGTGCGCATAATGGTAGCCAGCTTTTTAGCTTTCCCCAATACCAGAGCGTAGCAGAGACTTACGGACTCTCTGTTGTGCACAAGAGCTATATGTCAGATTCCTTTGCTCGCTGCTCTGGCCTCAACCACCACGACTTACTGGGACATTTCGGCTGTGTCAATGCCATAGAATTCTCTAGCAATGGCGGAGAATTCATTGTTTCAGGTGCGCATTTTGTCTTGCTACGATTTTGTTCTTTGTTTTGGTCCTTTGATTGGAGGAAGCTTCATGTTTCTCGGGATTCTTTGTTAGCGTGGGCGAATTGCACCTTAAATTATGTATCCGCGTTTCTTTTCGTGAGTTTTTTTTTAGTTTAGAGACATGTTTTTAGGTTATAATGTCAGGCATCCCTAGTATGTTCATGCCATATATTTCCCATTATGAATCCTCAATTCAATAATGATATGCCTGTCTCGGATGAACACCCTACAGTGGAATAAGCGGCCTTTTGAATAAGCCCATCCCCTTGAGTATGCACTGTTTGCATAAATGCCCCTCCTATAAGCCAAAATTTGGAATAGGTACCCCCCACCCTCACCCCTGAGAAGGTGCCCCTTCCTTCTTTAAGCCTGAAAAACTATTCAGGCTTGAGCAGGATTCAAACCAATGGCCTTTGTGATACTGGTGCAGTGGTATACCAACTGAGCTATCAAACCAACTGGGGGTTGGTACTGCCCCCCTCTCCAACTAACTGAATGCCTGAAAGAGGCTAATATGTATGCAGTAACTTTTTACATAAAGGGCCCTTTCCCAGGGCTGTCAGTAAGGGCTGTAGCCTGTTACACCTGTTACAGCTGAGTATGTTTGGTGGGCCCTTGATGTTACTGGTAAACATGTCTATTGCTGATACAATTCACCAACAAAGTGACAAGGTTGTTACAGTTGTGAAGATTGAGGCTACAGGTAAACCAAACTTAATGACAGCCCTGCTTTTCTACCAGTGGTGGATCAAGGAGAGGGACCTGGAAGACTGAGTTCATGTCCCTGTAAAGGCCTGATTGATGGCAAATTCTTTTAGGACCCCATCTTTATTAATTTAAGGCCTGCAGGCTTTATATGAAAATTTTGGGGAGCCCACCTTATAAAGAGGTCTGCTTAATTGAATGGTTGAGGGATCTTGGTGTTGCCACTTCTAGGCAAGACACTTCACTCTCCCAGAGCCTCCACTCAGTTGACTAGTCCCCTTGTTTGTGCTGACCTAAAGTCTGAGATATAGCAAGGATTTACTTTGGATGTAAATTTCAGAATATTTAACAATCATGGATATTTTATTTGCTGTTTTACCTCTTTCATTTCCTAGGTGGTGATGATCGTCGTGTTGTTGTGTGGAATGTGGAAAAATGTGTCTATGGAACTCAAAAACCAATAATAATGAAAGGAGAGCATAGGTCTAATATATTCTGTACTGTATTTGACAATGACAACAGACATATCTTTTCAGCAGGTAGGTTTTTTGTGTGTTCTTAGTTAACAAAGCGGCATTCATTTCTGTGGTCTGTACCCACTGGGGAGCAGGGTTGGCACAGTGGTGAGAGCACTCGCCTCCCACCAATGTGTCCCGGGTTCAATTCCCGGACCCGGCGTCATATGTGGGTTGAATTTACTGTTGGTGCTCTTCCTTGCTCCATGAGGTTTTTCTCTGGGTACTCCGGTTTTCCCCTCTCCTAAAAAACCAACATTTCCAAATTCCAATTCGATCCAGGCTATTGTCAAGCACGTTATCATGAGCCTCTGGCTTGGGTGATTGTGCAAGCACTCCCTGTGTTTGACATTAAATTTTCATTCACACTTTTTTACCATCATAGACAGTAATCTGAGATGATACCATAAAGTATCTATAATACTCAAGTAGTTCATGAGTTCACTCTGAGTTCTGAAAAAAATTCTTATTTGTTTTCAATGGATCAGGACAGGGAAAGAGAATTTTCAGTAATGTCTGGGCATAGCTAGATCAGATTGGAACATGCAAGACTTTGGGTCTGTAATCAAGGTGACCCTGAGTTGAATCCCAGGGGAGAAAGTCCCATATGAAAAGGTTGATGATGCTCATTGTCTGTTTTTGGGGGTATAAATCAAGTGTTCTGGTGCCACTCAGGGTGTTCATGATGAAACGCCACTATTTCCAGGGGTCAAATAAAGCTCCAGCCATGCCCAGATTGGTGTCCTTTAGGAATCAATTTAAATTTGCAATGAGTAACCCCAAACTTTTCATATGGAATTCTCCCCTCTGGAAAGTAAATCCAGTTTTTTGAAGACTTGGGGCCTGTTCGCACTACGTGAAATTTTGTTTGATTTGCCAAAAAATCTGTCAACACGCAGCCATTTCTAGTGCGAACGGTTTTTTGAACCCACCAAAATGTTTGCAATCACAACGAAACTTCAAAGATTCCGTCGACTAGCTTTGGAGGCTGTAAAAAGTTTGTCAGGCGAGGAAATCCTTTGTTCCTTGACATCCATCCGTCATTGGGTCATCAAATTTCACAACATATGGATTACGAAGCGCACATGACCGTATGACTTCACGCCATTTTAATTGAGCTATAGATGGATCCGCACAGAAGCAACATCGATCCATGGTACATCAACTATTATGGCTCGCAATGCTACCAAGATCAAGATCAGGCTAATCAAAGTTATTACGATTCCCAAATTGCTATGCAACAGCAGTACTTCTTACAGTTTCCATTGCAGCAAACTTGAGCGGATTCACAATGCATATGCATCCACATCCACTGAACGCAGCATCCACATCCGTAACATTCACTGAAGATCAGACAACTGCTGCAGCTACTGGAAGCACAGAAAACACGAAAAAGGGAACAAAGAGAAAAAACGCCAAGTATGAAACCTTCCCCTTTAAGACATGTCACGACATCTTGATGGTAAATTGATCAAATTACTAACTGACATCCGTCACTAAAAAAATTTCGTATCTTCATGTGCGAACAGGATTACGAAAACAAAAAATTAGTGATTACAAAATTTTCAGTTTTTTTGCAAATGCTAAACTCAAATTTTCGTCTTAGTGTGAACAGGGCCTTATAGACAATTGGCCAGCCAGCCTGCCTCCATGGGGAATTTTATAGATAAACACTTAAAAAATGCTTTTTTCTTCACTTTCTTTTGATTTATGTGCATTACAACAGCACTTAAATTCTAATTTTAGTGTGCTAAATTAGATCAAGATGGGGCCTGGGTTGTCAGTTACAAGATTTATAATGTGCAGGTCCAGAAAATATCCATACTGCCCCCACAGAAGGGATTGAAATTTCCTCGGGGGTGGGGGATTCTGGAAGACCAAAAAATTTAAAGAAATGTATGAAGCTTTATTGGAATTTCCAGAGGGGTGGGGAAGTCTTAGAAAAAATCCCTTCAGTGGGGGAGGTATGGATATTTTCTGGAACTACACAATACCAAGATATATCTGCAAACTTGAGAGCTCTTCCACAAATTATTTCCTTATTGTACATTTTTAAAATATATGGGACAGGTGATGAAACTCTCAGGCCTGAACCTATGGGCCTATAGATTGGCAAAGAAAGGAAGTGGGTTGGTTGACATACAGAGGAAAAGTACTGTCATAAAACTCTAATCTTTTTTCTCTTTTAATAGGTAATGATAATCAAGCACTGCGACATGATTTTACAACGTAAGTCAGCAATTAATATTAAAATGTATTTTTTGTACAAAATGTTATAATCAGAAGGCCATTCAGAGTTGACACTAATGGTAACTGCTGGAGAAAGTTTTTTGTGATATCCAGAATAATCAAGGTGGAGGAAAGTGTTATCAGCTGGAGCTAAAGGCTGAGGTTGGATACACGTAGTAGGACCTTTTTGTTAAAACTCTAGTTCAACAATAATAATATTGTGTTAATATACATTGTGTGGTTCCAGAAAATATCCATACCCCCCACAGAGGTTTTTTCCAGTTTGACCCCCCACCCCAGGATTTTCTGTTCCAGTGGGCTTCACAGTACTCCCCCCACCCCCTGGAATTTCCATGATTTTTCTACTTGGGCCCCCCTACCCCTCAGAAATTCCATATCCATTAAAAAAACAAGACTTAACTCATTAATTGTAATAAAATTTAACAGCAGCTGTTTATAGTTACATTGTAGACAAAGACGTACTTTTTCATGGTAGACTACAGACTTAGAAGCGCTTCACTCCCAAATGGCATAGCAGCTGACTTTTTCTTCATTAAAGGAAGTTTTCATCTAAGAATCTCAGAACGTACATAAAGTTCTTTCAAATAACCGAGTTGAAGTTTTAATTTATGCATGGTCAAAACAACATATCAAATTACTTTACACACGCAGTAAAGTCATCACGCAACATTTTTTTTACAACAGGTGTTTCCCAAATGTTGCTTTATTTTTTCTTTCACCAAAGGAATACATCAATTAAGTCATACACGTTGTCTCTGTAGTTTGTAAATGACAGTAAATTTATTTTATGCCTTAGTTTTTTCAATTGTCATACATTTCATATGTGAAACATGGATTGTTCAGTCGGTCTATAAATGGCCGAATGAAATCTTGGCTACCGCTCCAATGACTATGCTCCCCGATGTCCACGTTTACATATATAGTTCAAGAAAAATGGCTTTGAATCGACTTTGCTCACTTAAAGCAAACTATTAACTACACGGATAACGAAGGAAATATGTGATAACCTAGTTATGGCAAGTCTGAAATGGCGACTAATTTTGTAAGAGTATCAAACGAAATAAACAAAGTACAAATCACATTTAATTGACGGCATGATTAATGCTGGAAAAAGCATCTGAGCTGTATTTAAGCTAAATACAGCACAATCTCCAAAGTATAAAATATCATCAACTTCATTGTTCATGTATTGCTG